TCTCTGAAACGGCCAGCTACCTGTGCTCTGGAACCGGGGCTGGCAAACCACTTTTTGCCGTTGAAGGTAGTGCTGTTAGACAGAACTACGGTCTGGCCATAAATTTGGACGGAAGTATTGCAAACAACTTAGTATTAGTCCCTGAAGAATGTGTGATGGAACCTTTCATCATGCCGTCAAGCCTCTGAACAAAGAATAGCGGCGTGTAAAAAGGAAAAATGAAGATTCAGACAATTCATGATGGTTAATATCAGAAAATGAAGAAAAAATGCGCCCTCTGCACCGCATGTATATGGCACAGTTAATGCTGTCCAAGCGTTTGCATTCATATCGTCATCACGCTAAATTTAAATTGGTATTAGCCATTGTGCCGCCAATTTTTCTTGATACTATGATGTGGCAATTAAAAAAGTTGCGGAACAGTTTATCAATAAATTATATATGTAGAATGAACTGATGATGTACGCAGTGGATGAATTATGCTGCCATATGAAAGATTCTACTTGTATTTATGAATTCAGTAGTAGGGCCTTGAGATCTAAAACGTGCAGGCGACGCAACAATCCAAAGAAACTTGGCATCGTGAGATGCACGAATGACGATGACTTTTACTTGGAATATCTATACACGAAAAATTATTGTACAGATGGGACCAGGTATAGACCGGTTTTAGGTTTGTTTCCAGCCTTCATCAGCCAAAAAATGACATACCAATTACTTTATTTTCATAAATAAAAGTCAGCAGTCTGTTGCCATGTCACTATTAGTTCTGGCCAGTAAGACTAGTTTTGACCGTTGCCCTCTCGCACTCGTCGTCTTCGACTAGTACCAATGAAATGGCGCTTTTTTCCCCACATTATATCAGAAGGGTATTGACCGTGCAAGTCTTTTCTGAAGGTTGGTCTATGTTTTCGACATTTCTAGACCGCAGTCCCGATTCATAACATGATTTGTGGTCTGGTCTGAATCATGAAAGTTTCGCAAGGGACCCTTGCGAAGGCGTTCGTTGCCGTCCCAGTGGGTCTTGTATCTAGGTAGACGAAGTGGTGTCCAGTCGTAACATGATGATGGGCCGGTTCAGAAGTTATTTAAAAGTTTAGCAATTTTTCTTTGTCTTTGACTGCTCATTTGCTCGCTCGCTGCCTGCGCTCAGTAACTCTGACCTGCAATGGTCGTCATGTCTGGCAAATATATCGTAGGTTCCAAGCCAGGCAGTCCATTTTATACACTACACGCATAGCATCTGCAAGGAGTATCCGGTCTTTACCTTCGTTATAGTGATCTTAGCTTCCCTTCAGACTTGAAAGCAACTCCACCGTTCGCTGAGTTCATATTTTGCCTGATAGATTCTGAAGGAGCCGGAAAGCAAGGTATGCAGTAGTAAACGCTGAATCTTTCTTCTTTCTAAGTTCTTGGAGAGATTTGCGCCTCAATGCTTTCCGGATAAACATTTTTTGGTGTCCTTTTCGTTCCAGTACGTGGTAAACTTGCCTTACTTGTTTCTGAGCTCAAGTTTCAGAAGTTTTCCATCGTTATTCATGTACATGCGATTTCGAATGTATGTATACAAACTGTATCGTTTTATATCTTTTCAAGTTTAGCAGCCGAGAATGAGAACGATCTCTTTATAGGTGACCAAGGACTTTCCTATAACAGTTGTTCATTAGTAAGATGTCATTAGCTGCAAGAATGCACGTCATTGTTCAGTGCGAATGTAGCATGTCTTTTTTTAGAATGCTGCCGGAGTGGAAGGGATATTTGTACGTACTCGGCCTGGACGTCCCTTTCAGTCAGATGAAGGTACCAATTTCTACAGAGTAGCATCCAGTGACCGTTGCTGACCGTTTTCTGCGTTTCTGTGTGTTCAGGTGACCAAAGAGCTCAAGGCTTACGACAAGAAGATCATTGAATGCTTCTTTGAAAACGGCCAGTGGAAAATGCTTCGGCAGCGCGTCGACAAGTCGTATCCGAACGCTTATGAAACGGCGATGAGTAAGTTTGCGTCGACGCTACTTCATCACATTGCAGTAACCTTATAACGGTATCTCTGTAATCTTGATAACGATAATAATCTGTATATCACGCTATATTCGTGATAATCGCCGTATTATGTGATCGTTTTCACGGATCAGTTTGATTGACTAGTATTGAGAAACCAGGTGCATGGCGTCGGCAACAGTGCTTCCTTCACCTTTCTCTCGTTCGTTCGTCCTTAATGAATCACAGTGGTCTTTAATCAATCAGGTAGTTTCAGTGGTCGCATTTCCTTTCGAGTCGCTGAGGTAGCAGCATCAAGCTGTGTTTCCACTGTTCCTGATCCCGCGCCCGCATATTAACTTTGGCAGAAAAACTTTGAGTCTGGAAGAGAGTCTTTCGAAACAATGGCCCCAGCTCATTCTCGGCCATCCTGGGCGTCTGTTGAGTAGTTAGTTGCTGTTTCACCTTCCTTTCTCGAGGCATTTGCAAGATTGTCCAAGCCGTCACAATTGTGACTTCTCAATCTGACGAATTAGCAGTGGAGCGCAACGGTTCTCTCGGATGTCTCAACTCCGAAGAATTGTACCAAGACTTGTAAGTCCAGCGATTCGTCTCAGCAGCTTGTATCAGCCGCTTGTTCCCCAGCATCATAGTTCTTCTTTCATGGCCCATGAATCTTAATCATGGATGGGCATGAGGTTGAAAATCGACTTAAACCCAGAGAGCTTCGTCTTCAGACTCACCAATGCTTTAGTCACAGCGGTTCGGGTTAGTTTACGCAGAACGCCACTGGCTCTTCCAATCCGCCGGTCGATTTCTGTCTCCAATTTTCCATCGCCAGTAAACATGACCTCCACGGACGTGAAATTCACCTGTTTCCCCATTCCTCCCTTTTAGCTGCGGAAAGCAGCGGGCTTGAGATCGAAAAAGTACTAGGCACTAGGATTCCATAGCCGGTACGTGGACGCATGTTTTCGCTCTGAATTTGGGTCGAGTACCTTTGACAGGTTCAGCAGTTTCGCCTGTTTTAACCTCAGTCAGAGGACTGTCACTCTTCCCCCCCAAGGTACTTCCATTCAATCATTCTGTCAGTCAGGTTGGGTTCTACCAGAATACAAGCATGGGCCTGAGCGCTGGTCGTACAGTCGATATCTGAGTATAAACGTTTTCACCCGCATAGGTTCAGAATTCTGAAGCCCTGGTGTTTTGTTGACGGTAGTCCAGTTATTTCTAATTGTTTTCCCTCGGCCTAATCATTTGGGTGCTGTTCTTTCCGTGTGAATGACAAAATTTTCAAGTTTCCGACTGTGAGTTCTCGTGTAGTTTTATCAAACGTGCCATTATGGCATCGCGCTGTTTGTTTCCTCAATTCAGAACGGGCACTCCCATGCTTCCCAGCTGCTAGAAGGCGTGAAACAGGTTCTGCTCATCGACTGCCTCGATTCCCCCAACAGTCTGTGCGGTCATCGTTAATCCGGATAACGCTGATCTGCATTACATTTGATAATGTCAATATCGTTAGTTTTACGGGATACTTAGCCACGGTCCTCAACTCTCCTCCTTTTGCATCCGGATTTGGAACCGGCAGCGAGAGAGTAATGGAATATGAGATTATCACAGCTTATTTGGACTGTAACTTGGGGTGGTTTATGATTCCGCAGGTACCATTCAGTGGTAGCCGTCATCCATCATTAGTCAGTGAACCGAACTACGTGTTCAGTCAGTAGCATTTTACTCTGCCCGCTTTTCACATTCTGTTTCCGTTTTTTGTCTTTTTCTGCACTTGGGGTGAAATCCTCAGCATCCTTCTTGCCATGATTATTCCAGTAGCGGACAGTTTATATTCTCCCACTTTCGCCAGCGACCTTGCTTCACTGCCATGTAACATGATTGTCAGTTCGGTTGTGTTGAAGAGATAGGCTCATGTTGCTTTTCTGATATTTTCCGGTAGGATGTTCTTGGTGGATTTGAGCATGCGCCAGTTTGCTTCCTTCTGCGTTAAATTTCGTCCTTCTGAACATGTTGCATGTCGATATCCTGTTTCATAGAAATGTAACTTTCCACATCTTCTCTAAGCTTTCTATTTAGCCGCATTTCACCCTTCTCCAGGATATCTGATGATGAGCAGAGAAGTCAATAAATAATGTAAATGTACAATTGCTCTGTTGTTGTTCTTTTAGAATAGGGGCTAGATAAACACAGTTACTGCTGCCTACTAGTATCTTGACTCTATCTTTGAGAAATCTGTTGACTGCAAAACGGTGATTTGTCAATGTTTGCAAATGGTAGGTCGCAGCAGTAGAAGTCAGCAGGCTGAAGCTTATTAGATATCTGATTCGATCGTTGGAACCACTTGATGCAAAAATTAGACCGCCAGAACGTAGAACGGAAATGTATTAACACGTTCGATAAGCGATGCTTATATGAATTTTAGCTGTCTCCTGGGAGAAACTGAGAATCAAGGAACAGTTTAGCATTCGATGATCATTCTTCTGAAATGCCCTTAAGGAATAAGTACGGTATTTTCTTGAGACAGAACGGAGAGTGAGTAAGAAGACGGTTTTCTAAGGCTGGACTTCGGGATCGAGTTCGAAAAGAGACATTGGTGATGCCGAACGGACGACGTCGACCAATGGATCAAAAAGCATTCACACCGGGGGAATCAAACAAGCTCGGAGAATATGGCATAACTTGTACATTATGTCATAGTCTCTGATCAGAGGATGACTGGCCACTGATTGAATCTGACAAGCAGACTCTTTCATGCGGTTTTGGGCTCTTTTTTTCTTGCATTCTGATATTCAGGCTTCAAATGCATATTAATTTGTCAATAGATACGCGCATATCTGATTTGTCTGATTTAGGCATCTGCGGCTGCATCAAGAACCCGATTACTAAAGAATTTCTGCTCGAATTCGTCAAACACAGAGCGAAGAAGCCACGTTGTCCGCCGAAGGCAGATGCCGTTTGACAAGACTGCCTTCGTTACGTGGCTTTTACCGCTGCCATCTGATAATTCACTATTTGCTAACATTCGTAAGCGCCCGTGTCAGTGTCCGCTGGACTTCATATGCTTCGAAGCGCTGTCGGCGTGCGACGGTTTTTTCGCGCATCGATGTGATTGGCTCGAGCGTTGATTGACTGTACACTGTTGTATCCCTGCCACTTCTGATGATTCCTTCATTCGTTATTTTTTGCTTTTCAAAGCGATGCATTGGGAGTAATTAAGTTAAAGTGGTATTTGTGTGATTCTCTGCGAGTCCACCTGAACACAATTCGACTGCAAATAGTTACGGCAGAATAAAGTTTGTAACCTTTGGAATGTTGACGATATTCCTTGCACTTTCATGATGTCTTTCAGGCAATTTTTTGTACCTTTTCTACGAAATCAATGGTGGGCCGTTGTTGTCCATCTCCATGCTGTCAGCCACCAACGCCTTATTTTAGGGCCAGAGTCAACAGCAGCTGTGTAGCGAGCATAGCGCCTGCTCTCCATTTCATAAACACAGAGTAGTACTGATTTATTAACCTCGGTAGGGAAGAACCACTAGTAATCCAGCCGGGGCTCGATCCCGGGGCTTATCGGTTCTGAGTCCGATACTCTACCGACCGGCGAATCCGATCATATGTGAAATCGTATAGCGCTGCGGCATTGCGGAGATAAAATTGATTAATTAAGTGATGGAATTCTCTAGCCGCTGAAACAAAAGTTGTTACTTGGAAACATATGTAGAGTCAAAATATCAAGTTACTGACTCTCTTCATCTACTTCTGCTTCAAGAATGAACATTATCCATTGTTTGGAGTCTATTTCTTTGAAAACTGAACAAAAAGTGAGGGACGGACATTACGGAATGAAA